TTCTCAGAACAGTAAGATTACTTTAGCATGATAATGTGTCCATGTTCTGCTTTGATTGCTACTGCAAAGGCAAAGGCATACCCCCTGGCAATGAGATTCACTCTAAGCTTTCCCCTCCTAGCCACCTTTCCTCCCCTTGCCAGAGGTGGGCTTTTCTCTGGATTTTTAAAAATGATTAGTAGTTGGGCTGTCACCTTAACACCACAATGATATCCTTATGGACAATTATTTTTACTTGCCAAAAGCCTACCGTGGGTGGAGGAAGGGCATGGAAATGCGGAAATCAACACCTTTCCTCCCACACATTCCAAAATCCACTTTGGGTATGATCTTCCATAAAAGACTGTACCAAAGCAGGTTTGGGAAAAATTACACTGGAACTGGAGAAAATTGGGAAGGCTGACATAAGCACAGTGATGTTGTGTAGCAGGCAAAATTAAATCTGCTGTGATGTATGGGGGGGGGAGCAAGATCTTTGTGCAGAAGAACTAAGTGTACTGTTGGTGCTGCTGTGTTTGTTTCTGCAGCTATCATATGGCTACTGGTTGAACTGAGCTCTATTAGGCCAGTGTTAGCCTTAGCACAGTGGCTGTTCATCACACTGGAACCATAGGATTGTCTTATTATGGTAGCTTCTTCTGGATTTCTTCTTGGAACAACAGCATTGCTCTCTAATTCAAATGAATGATTTTTCAGAAATCACCATACTGAGCTAGTGCTGGATATCCAAAAATGAAAACTCCACAAATTAGTAATAATATTTGACAATGTAAGAGCTCATATCTTACTGTTTTATCACATGGGGCTAATGATTCCTCTGCAACTCAGCTTGGTATTGTAAAGTTTAATTAATTTATGCTTTAAAATTCCATTGACGCATCCCAATAAAAGGTGTTAAACATAAGGTGTTATTGTCTTCAAAACACTAATGTTTATTTCCTGCTCACAGTTGGACTTGAAACCCGGAAATTGAAAATATAAAACCCAACAATTATATACTTTTAAAAAAGTTAATAACTCTATTAGGAATGTGATTAACATGAACAATGAGGTAGACAGACAAAGAGAGAGAAATAAATTCTGTTTTTAATTTAACACACATTTTCAGTGGACATGAGCTGGCCACTGCTGTTATATATTAATTAGTGCTCTGAAGAGGGAGAAAAGGCTACAAAGAGGGTGAAGCAAGCTGGCAGGTGTAGAAATAAGATTAGACAATGGCAGAGGGTTTTCTTTTTTCTACTGTGAACACAAGTCATCCAGAATTCCCATCAGTCTGGCTGATATGTTTTGTACATGTGAAATTAACTCGGGAAATGTGAGATTGGGGCAGACACAGAGAAGGCTTGGGGGCTGGAAATGGTTTCAGCTCTAGTACGTTGACCATTCACAGGCAGATGATTTAGTACTAATGATGTACCAAGCATGATCCTCGAAAGCAACTCTGTACCACTGTTGAAATCACATCCTTCTGGAGCCATTGCTTAGAATTCCTCATTCCAAAGGGAACCAGGAATCTTGAGAGAGGGTGCTAGTAATAGAACGTGTGGGACACTGTACCAGTGTTTCAAAAGCCAAGAATGACTTTCCCATACAGTAACAACATTAACACTATGAATGAAAGTTGCAAATAACACACATTTTGGGGAACTGTGGTTATTTTTGTTTCCAAGCCTTTAGGGGACACTGCTGTCACATTATTTTATTTTCTCCATTTCCCTCTGAAGAATTGAAATAGTGCATGAAACCAACCAAGAAAAATCTCATGATTTAATAGAGTTGTGATTTTAAGGTTAAGAAACCTTTCCAGTCATGTGACTTCTGATGAACTGTAATTGTTGGCAACTCCATGGAGCAGACAGGGCTTGTGGTGAAAAAAGATGGTCTAGTTTTTCTTCATAGAATCATAGAGTGTTAGAGTTAGAAGGGACCTTGCAGGTCATCTAGTCCAACCCCCTGCACTCTTCCTCTGATCGAACCAAGTAGTGTGAAAGCTTGATATGCCATCTATAGCCACCTCCCATTTCCTAAAAGAGAACATTCTGGCCAAGTGTCAGCATTTGCTTCAGAAGCTCACAGAAAAACGGGGGAGGGTGGGTGGGAGAGAGACTTTCAGGTCAGCTCACAAATGACAAAGTCCCTGTGTTCCCCATATGGGCATTTTTGACAGGTATGTTCTGGAAGTTCTCTACCAGGAACTTAAATGTTAAGCTTAAGCCTTGCCCCTTGTATTGTTTTACCAACCTGAAATGGCCTCTAGGAGCTGTTATTTGCCCATTGGGGAAACCGCTGCTTACGTTTTTCAGTGGGGCAAATGATGGCGTCCTGGGGCTGTTGGTTGTAGAAACAGAGCAGGAAAGGGAGCCCAAGCCCCTTCTTCCCACACACCATGGTCTAGATTAACATGGGTGTGATGCCCTCTGCGGGGCAAGGGAACATCATACCTGGGGTCCCTGGGGTCTGAGGCTACCTTGGCTGCATGACTCCCACCTCTGCTCCATCCAGGTGAGTCCTGCTGCTGGGCCCAGGGCCATCCCAGGCCAGGTAACCTGCCACATTGGGAATTAAGCTTTCAGCAAGGAACTTCCAACATATGTCTGATCGAAAGTTCTCATAGTGGCCATAGTGGTCATTTTGATGTGTAAATAATCTGAGATCAGCACTTCTCATTTAACTCTGAGCCATGAAGGGGTATTCATTGAGCTGTAAAGGGGTGTTTAGTTGGTCAAGGACCAAGCTGAACTTTAAGAGTGGCCATAGGAAGTTGTACATTTGATCAGAAGAACAGCAAAGCAGAAAGGATTTTTTTTAATCTTTCCATTTTTCTGCTCAAAACTGTTCCCATGTTTCTTTACCACCAAAAGGGGGGAAAATCACATTCATATTCGTTAAATCCTGAGAGTAAGGTTCCCGAGAAAGGTGGGCATAACAATATTTTAAATAAATAAATATCTTTTTCACAGCAGTTAGAAAATCAGCTAGGGACTGATTAGTTGGAAAATCAGCAGAAAAATGACTAGAGGCAACAAGGGTTAAGCATCCCCCTCTACCTACCCACCACTCCTCTAATCCAGACTCCCATTACAGCTTTTTTTAAAGGTTTGTTGCCTCTGGCTATGAAATGTTACTTTAAAATATAGCTCAGTTTGATTTAAACTTATGTTTGCTTGTGTTTACATGCTAGAGTTAGGAGGAAGGTATTTAAACAGCATGCTCGTGAACTATCATGCTTCTGTAGCTGTGTACAGTACAGCCGCACAGTAGTTATGCCTCAATAATCTCTACAGAGAATAATGTAGTGACTTGATTTGTCTTTGTTTGCATGAATGAAGCCTGATGGTAGGGTAGAAAGTTCTGCTGGAAGCCGACAGGTGAGGCAAGTGAATGCTAGGAGTCTGGGAAATCGGCATGAAGTAAAGGTAAGAGCTGAGAAATTGGGGGAAGGGTAAATAGCAATTCAGCAAGAGGTCTGAAGCACATGAGAAGCATGGAATACTGGTGGCGTGTGAGAGAATTACCAGCATTCCAAGCACTTCAAAGGTATCAACAACTTCAACCAAGGTAGAGTTTTGAAATACATATGTTGATATTATATTGGTATTCCACTTCTTTAAGCAGCTCCTACAGGACAGTGCACATGGTGTTTTCCCATTTGATCCTCGCAACCACCCCTACGAGGTAAGTTACCCTGCAAAATATGCAGGTACTGGGGATTTGTATAGAAGTTTTTCTGGTCTTTGTCTTTATGCCATAGTAATTTTGAACATCTGTGGTTATAGCTACCACCACTATGCTGACAACAATTTATGGAGCGCCAACTAGTGTATCAGGTACATCTACTGAGAATAAACACCCTGCTCTCAAAAGAAGGATGGTCAAAGTGGGGTTCCTTCAACATCAAGGCAAGAAGCCAACCTGGCCTTGCAGTTTCTTAGGTGAAAAGAAGATCCCAAGACTGTGAACTTGGCAAGGCATTAACGGTCTGACAGATTAATTGAAGCACCCTCTCACTGTGTGGTGCCAATGGCTGAAACACAGTGGGACTGAACTAATTTCTCCCCTCCCTCATCTTACATGCTTGGCATACTTGTCCTCTTAATTTATTCCTGACCCCCAAACCCCAGACAGCCTGACCTTCCATTCTTTGTTATCCTTTCTTGTAAAACCCCCTTTTTAATGAGGAGGGCAGCACTTCAAGAGGATTGAGAGTTAACTTGTTTTCATTGTGAGGAGGGGGGGGGAAGAGAAGAATGGCTATAACCAAAAGGTCAGTTAGTGCTGGATTGCCTGAAATTAATGTTGTTTGGTCAGAACTATTTTTACCGGAGTGCACTGTTGCTTTCTTTAGGTCTGGAGGAGAAAACTTTCTATCTCTTTCTCGCTCCCCCCCCCTTCAGGCTAGTTGGAGTCCCACACTCTCCCTTCCCTACCTAAAAAAAAAGCAAAGACAAGAGTTATTTGTTAGCAAAGGAGCCACTATCAAGAGCTGCTTCTTTGTCTTCTTGGCTGCTTCCACCTTTGCCTTCCAGCTTGGGGGGGGGGGGGGAATGGGTTTAACTTAATCATATCCACATGACAAACCCTAAATAAAAAAGAGTAATGCAAAAAAAGATAGTAGTAAAAGGGCGTCGGAGTAGTCGGAGAGCGGCGGTTGTCCTCAGGCAGCGGGGAGAGGGAGCGAGAGCTGTCAGACTTCGGGGAGGGCGGCAGCTTTCCTCAGACGTGCAATGTGAACTCCATCCGAGAGGCCGGTCCAGTAAGGAAGCAAAGGGCTGACGATCGCTCGCAACAAAGGCTCGGGACTTCCCTCTTGGCGTTCCACTGGAGCTGAGGCGTGTTAGAGCCGCGGCAGGAAACAGGTTTCCCTCCCTCCCTCCGTCTCTTTCGCGCGCGCTTATTTATTTATTTATTTATCCCCCCCCTCCCCGGGCGACTGCAAAAAGCCCCGCTTTGCCAAAAGAGCCTCATGCTCTGCGCCGAGCGGCAGCCCGGGAGGCAGGATGGTTCCGCGGGCTCGGAGAGGCGCTAGCCAGGTGCTGTCGCCGGATCGCCGCCGCGCTCTCTTCTGCCTCTTGCTCCTGCTGCTCCCGGCGCCCGGCGGCGGGCTGGAAGTGCAGCACAAGTTCGTCTCCGCCACCGCCACCAACAACTTCGCGCTGGACCGGTCGGGCAGCAGGATCTACCTGGCGGCCGTCAACAGGCTGTACCAGCTCTCGGGCCCCAACCTGACGCTGGAGGTGGAGGAGCAGGTGGGCCCCCGGGAGGACAACCCGCTGTGCCACGCGCCGCAGCTGCCCCAGGCGTCGTGCGAGCACGCCAGGAGGCCCACCGACAACTACAACAAGCTGCTGCAGCCGGACCCCGAGCAAGGCATCCTGGTGGTGTGCGGCTCGGTCTACCAGGGCTTCTGCCAGCTGCGCAGCATGGACAACATCTCCGTCGTGGCCGTCGCCTTCCCACCTGGGGCAGGCGGCGGAGACGACGGCGAGCAGGTCACGGTCTTCCCCAGCATGCTCAACGTGGCCGCCAACCACGCCAACGCCTCCACCGTCGGGCTGGTGCTCCAGCAGCCCGGGCAGGACCCGAGGCTGCTGGTGGCGGCCACTTACACGGGCTTGGGCAGCCCCTTCTTCCCGCGCAACCAGAGCCTGGAAGACCACCGCTTCGAGAACACGCCCGAGATCGCCATCCGCGCTCTCGACGCCCGCGGCGACCTGGCGCGGCTCTTCACCTTCGACATCAACCCTTCCGACGACAACATCTTCAAGATCAAGCAGGGCTCCAAGGAGCGCCACAGGCTCAGCTTTGTCCATGCCTTTCTGCACCGAGGAACCCAGCAGCAGCAGCAGCAGCCGGTGGCGGCGGTTCCTCGCCCTGAGAGAGAAAAGGGCGCCCACGGCGGACGGGGCTCCAAAGGTGCCCAACTCCCTCCGGACGGCCCCGTCCTTCCTTCGCCCCTTGGCCGCCCTGGGGGCTCTTACGCCTACTTGGCCCTCAACAGCGAGGCCAACGCGCGGGAAAAGGAGAGCCACTCGCAAAGCCTGCTGGCCCGCATCTGTCTGGGGGACTCGGCCGAGGCCACGACCCTCAATGGCAGCAGCGGCGGCGGCGGCCCCAACGGGGAGACCAAGAAGCTGACCGAGTCCTACATCCAGATGAGCCTGCAGTGTGGCGGCAAGGCCGGGTCTGGCGGGACAAAGGCCGGGGCGGCCGGCGGCGACCTCTTCAACCGGCTGGTGTCGGTGTTTCCCGCCAGCGCCGCCCTGCAGGTTAGCGCGGGAAGTCCTTCGCCGCCTCAGCTGGAGGAGTTGCTCTTCGGGGTCTTCGAGAAGGCCGCTTCCCCCGCCGGGTTTCCTGGGCCTGGTGGGCGACAGGCCCCGCCGCTCTCTGCGCTCTGTGTGTTCCGCTTCGCCGAGATCGAGGAGGCCATCAGGAAGGCCAGGCACTCGTGCTTCGTGGAGCCAGATTCTGGGCTGGTCACTGTGCTCGACAGCGTGGTGCAAGGCACCGGGCCTGCCTGCGAAAAGAGGAATATCCAGGTAGGTCGGAGGCAGAGGGGGAATCCCTGGTGGAGGCACTGAAGCCCAGAGGCATTCCTTGGGACTCCAAACGCCTTCAGCCCCACCTCCACTTGTTTGGTTCAGTGGTAGCGCTTTTGAGGGTTTATAAGGAGAGTGCCTCTGACCATGCCCAGACAGCAAGCCAGTTGCGTTAAGTGGAACCATCCTCTAAGCAAACTTGAGGCCTGGCATGGCTTCTTTTCAAATGTAGGTATTGAGGTGGGAAAGTGGGCTTTGTTTCTGGATTTGTTGGGAAATCTCTCCATAGTTAGCAAGCTACAAGTATGGAACGGGATTTTGGTGGGGATTGCTTTAGGGTGGTCAGGTCCCTCCTGACCACTGGTGGGGGATGGGGGGTAGAGTTGCCAGATCCAGGTTGGGAAACTCTTGGAGATATAGGGATGAAGACTGGGGAGAACAGGGACCTCAGTGGGGTACAATGCCATAGAGTTGACCCTCCGAAGCATCCATTTTCTCCAGAGGAACTTATCTTTGTAATCTGGAGTTGAGCTGTAATTCCAGGGGATCCCCATGTGCCCCCTAGAGGCTGGCATCCTTAGATTGCTTCCATCCTAAGGCAAGGTGTGGAAAGAATGATCAAGGAGGTTGACTCTCCTTCCCTGTGAAGAAAGGCTGAAAGCCTTGAGGCTTTTCAGTTTGGGAAAAGATGACTAAAGAGAGTACAACTGATGTTTGTAAAATGATTCCTTCTGTGAAAAATTGATACATTCTGGGCAGACAATAGAAAGTCGTCCTCACACAATGCATGATTAACATACAGAATCTGCCACCACAAGATGTGGGGATGACCACAGGTTTAGGTGGTGGGAAGACAAATTGATGGATAATATGAACATCAGGTGCTGTTAGAAACCTTCTGAGCATGCCCACAGTACTGTGATGAGGCACATTTAGAGGCATGTGCCTGTTGCTGACAAGTAGAGGGCAAACAGAAATGGCTGTTACCTTCACTAACTGCTTCCCAAAAGCATCTGGCAGGTCATTGTTGGAAGCAGAATGTTGGACAAGGTGGACATTTGATCTGATCCAGCAGGGCTCTTCTTTTAACCTTAAGAGGCAGATCCCCCTCATAAATCAGGAGTGTCAAAGAACTGCAGAACTGTCTGTGAACAGACTCCTAAGACAAAAACCACATCCCCTGAGAAGTGCTACTAATTAGATAAAGAGCAATGCATGAACTGGGAAAAATGTGAGAGAGTGGAAAAGAGAAACCTCTCTAATGTTCCTTGAAGCGGTCTCACAGTGGAGTGAGGCTAGCCCAGAATGTGATGTTTGGGGAGGGGGGGGGAATATGCTGCTATGTATCCTTTGACTGGATGTGACTCATCTGTGTTTTCTTTCTGCTATGCTGGTTCTGTAAATCTTGCTCAGGCAAAATTCCCATGATAGTCAATGCAGGCACTAGATGTAATACATTGTACTTAATGGGCCATCTCACTAACTTCTTAAAGTTTAGAAATTTACATCAAAGGAGTGTTGTATGTCCATACAAGTATGAAAGTTAACGATGTAAAGGACATGTTAATTAACTCAAAGTCTTTTGTAGCTGGTTGTTCAGTACTTCCCTTGTTTTGGTGTTTTCTCACAGAGGACCTTTTCATATGGACCGACTGCATCCTTGACATGAGTGGATACATGGGCCTCAATATGTTTTGAAGGGTTGATTTAGATCCCAGATACCTAACCTTTGTGGGGTTGATTCTCCATCCTAAATTAATAGCGAAGTTTTCTTGACTTTGTGTCATATCTATCTTCTTGTTGATGGTTAAATTTGCGGATGATACGAAGTGGCTAAATTTGCGGATGTTCAGGGTGGTGAAAACCAGTGAGGACTGTGAGGCACTCCAAAGGGATCTGTCAAGGATGGGCAAGTGGGTGTCAACATGGCAAATGGGGTTCAATGTGGCCAAGTGCAAGGTGATGCACATTGGAGCCAAAAATCCTAAATATAAATACACATTGATGGGGTCTGAACTGGCAGAGACTGATCAAGAGAGAGATCTTGGAGTTGTGGTAGGTAACTCACTCAAAATGTCGAGACAGTGTGTGACTGCAATAAAGAAGGCCAATGCTATGCTGGGGATTATTAGGAAGGGTATTGAAAACAGATCAGCCAGTATCATAATGCCCCTATATAAATCAATGGTGCGACCTCATTTGGAATACTGTGTGCAGTTCTGGTCACCACACCTTAAAAAGGATATTATAGCTTTGGAAAAAGTGCAGAAAGGGGCAACTCGAATGATAAAAGGGTTGGAACACTTTCCCTATGAGGAAGGGTTAAAGCGCTTAGGGCTCTTTAGCTTGGAGAAACGACGACTGAGGGGTGACATGATTGAGGTTTATAAGATTATGCATAGGAAAGAGCAGGTAGAGAAAGAGGTACTTTTCTCCCTTTCTCACAATACAAGAACTCGTGGGCACTCCATGAAATTGCTGAGCGGTCGGGTTAGAACGGATAAAAGGAAGTACTTCTTCACCCAAAGAGTGATTAACACATGGAATTCACTGCCACAGGAAGTGGTGGCGGCTACAAGCATGGACGGCTTCAAAAGGGAATTAGATAGGCATATGGAGCAGAGGTCCATCAGTGGCTATTAGCCACAAGGTATAGATAGGGGCTCTGGGGCAAGTGATGCTCTGTCTTCTTGGTGCTTGGGGGGGGGGGTCAACAGTGGGAGGGCTTCTAACGTCTTGGCCCCACTGGTGGACCTCCTGATGGCACTGGTATTTCTGGCCACTGTGTGATACAGAGTGTTGGACTGGATGGGCCTTTGGCCTGATCCAACATTGGCGTCTCTTATGTTCTTATGTTATAATTAAGCTCAGTTTCTTGAAGCTGATCTCTCTATATTTGTTGGGAGTATACATTATGAGGACTACATTCACAACCTTTATCTGTAATTTGCAATTATCCAACTAAAAACATGCTCAGATGAAATTCCCACCTTCCCCCCAGAACTTTACCTGAGGAAAAATTGGGTGCAGGCTTCCATTTCTCCCCTCACTGTTGAAGCAAATCAGTTACAAAACTGGGTGATCTTGTGTTTATTTGAATGCAGAGTATCACTGACCCTGCAACAGTACACCTGCTAGAACATGAGTTTCAGCAGTGCAATCCGAAACAGAGCTACTTCCTTTTAAGCCAATGGGTTCAATGGAAGGGTGTAGCTCTTGTTATGATGGAACTGTCAGTTACATAAAATCAAGGATATCCCAAATTCAAATAACTTAGAATTGTAAGAAGATAATTCTCTATCTGCTGTGAGGGGAGCAAGGGATGAGAGTGCAAAGTGGTGTGGACACATTCTTTCTGAAGTACAATTGGGGGGGGGGATACCACCTGATCATGTCCTAACGTTCTGATTTGTCTTCCATGAAGAATGGAATATGAACGTAACATTTGCACCTGAGTAGATTCAACATGGAGCTGCGGTGGCTCAAGTGGTTAAGATGCTGAACTGCAGGCTGTGGAAGGTCAGTAGTTCAGCAGTTCGAGACCCGGGTGCCGCAAGACGGAGTGAGCTCCCGTCTCTAGTTCCAGCTCCTGCCAACCTAGCAGTTCGAAAGCAAGAAACTGCAAGTAGATAAAAAGGTACCACTTCGGTGGGAAGGTAACAGCGTTTTGTGTGCCCTGGTGTTTAGTCATGCCGGCCACATGCCCACGGAAACGTCTTCGGACAGTGCTGGCTCTTCAGCTTTGAAATGGAGATGAGCACCGCAACCCTAGAGTCGGATTCGACTGGCTTTCGAGCAAGGGAACCTTTACCTTTACCTTTAGATTCAACATGTCATTAGGTTTCCTAATGCCAGCTACTTTAACATATTGCAAATTTTAGCAGGTATACGGTACACATTTAGTCAGTATCTGCTTGTATCCCAAGACATTTTGGACAAATTCATGTACATTACAAAAATATCACATCGAAAGCTATAGTGGCTTCTGGGTGCAGTATCTTTGTGTATGCATAGTGAAATAAAGGTGTACGTTTGCCTTATGGAGTACATGCTAAATGTTTGTAGTATATTTGCAATGTCTGTAGTACATGGAGTGTTTTCTAGAAGAATGGGAGAAACATAATAAGTCCAGTGATAAACTTTCCCCACAAAGTTTATTTCCATGTAGTACTGTGTCACATACTTATCTTGGGTGCACTGTGAAAGTAAATGGAATTTCTTTTCAGTTTACTGTGAAGCCAAATGTGCAGTAGTTATATGTGCACATGTAAACAAAGAATTTGACCCCTCTCTTTTATCAAGAAGTTCCTTTCTTCTCAAGTTTTCTGTCCCAAGTGAACCAGCGGTGACTCACAGTTTTGTTCTGCCCTCCCCCTTCTGCTCTTTGGGTGTTTCTCTCCACACAGACAGTGAGGGAAGGAAGCTGTAAGAATGTGTATTCCATTACAGTAGTTCTCTTCCCACATTCCCCTGCATACTCATGCAGTGGGATAGTGCTCAATGTGTAGAGTTCAGAGAGAAGGGGACACAGGCTGTCTTGTTTTACAGCTCTCAAAGTGAAAGTTTGTAATTGTCATGATTTGTTACAAGCACACATAAAATATTTATGTCAGCTGAATGCGCCTCTATTCCTTTCCCAAAACTTAAAATCACCTTAACGGTAGGATTACTTTGTTTTCTTCTCTTGAGAAAGACGCAGAGCACATTTCTGCTAGAATTGTAAAACATCTGTTTGATTTAACAGGCATGATAGACCATGAAAGTTTGATCTCTGCTCTTTTAACTTTCTACTGGCAACGTTAGAAAGCCTTCTTTTTCTGTTAACCAAAATGCATTTGGCATGGCAGATTCCATGCCGTGTCAAAATTTCTGCCCTCAGTGCAGTAACTCATATAACACTTTATGAAGGTTGAACTCTTTCTCATGCACAGGTTTTCAGCTGTTAGGGAGCCCTCTACCCAAAATAATTGGTAATTGGGTTGGTGTTTCAGTTAACTCCT